ATCTTAGAAATAGGCAGTTACCTGCGATTAACCCTGAGTGAATTTCTGATCTATTGTTGGATAAGTTGTGTGTTTGTGCCTAGTAATGATGATGTCATTTGGGTATTGCTTCATTGAACACAACCCCTGAGATGATACTTATTTTCACAAAAATAAAAAAAAAACCTTGAAGACACCCACAGCTAAACAGTGAACTGAACTCCTGGAACCCAGTTGCAGAGAGTGAAGAGTGATGAGCAGAGGGGTGAAGACCAGGCTGGTGAAACCCACAGAAACAGTTTACCTAAACAAGGGGGAGCTCATGGACCCCCAGATTGATGGCTGAGAGGCCAGCATGGAACTTATCCAGACCCCCTAAATTTGTATGTCAGTGAGGAGGCCTTGGCAATCTATGGGGCCTCGGGTAGTAGATCAGTTGGCTTATGAATGGACTTTGGGAGCCCATTCCATATAGAGGGATGCTCTCTCATCCTGGATACATGGTGAAGGCCTAGGCCCTGCCCTGGATGAAATGACAGACAGACTCTGGAGATCCCCCATGGAGGACCTCACCCTCCCTGGTGAGCTAAGGGGGGATTGGGTGGGGAGGTTGAGGGGATTGGAGGGGAGTGGAAGAAAAGGAGAGGGAGAAGGAACTGGGATTGACATGTGAAACAAGCTTGTTTCTAATTTAAATTAAAAAAAATCTTTAAAAATCTAAATTAAAAAAAAGCCTCACTTGAGAACTACAAAACACACTCAGATTCAAACTGCCTCTGTGTTTGTTTCTGTTTGTCACAACCAAATCCTTACCCGCCTAGTCTTCCAGAACCCTCATCCCAGGGACTCCCATACCTGGCTGGGATGGTCCATGGCAAATATTCACTGTATATAGAAGTTTCTGTCTCACCCAGTCCTGCAGCCACTTAGTCCCAAATAAACACACAGAGGCTTATATTAATTATAAATTATTATAGCTCAGGCTTCTTATTAGCTATTTCTCTCTTAAATACTAAGCCCTTTCTATTAATCTGTGTATCTATATGTGGCCTTTGGTTTACCAGTGTGTGCCTTCTTAGGCAGCTACATGGCATCTTCCTCAAGACTCACTATCTTCCTCTTCTCAGAATTCTCCTAGTCCTGTAGCCCACCTATACTTCATGCCTGGCTACATCCTTCCTGTCCATTGACTGAAACAGCTTTATTCATCAACCAATATGAAAGCATGTATTCACAGCATGCAGAAGAACATCCCTATCAATTCACAGAGTTAGAACAAGGAGATAAGTTCTTTTCCATAAATTATTCAACACATACTCTGTTTTAACACACTCACATCTTGAGTATTTTCCCTTATGGAATATTGCTTGGAACTACAAATACAGTATCACATCATGCACATCGAATTTACACTGTATCTCCAAATAATAATAGCTTAAAATCATAGACCCAATGTGGTCATTTCATTTGACACAGAAGAGCAATTCCATAAGTTCATCTAATAGCTAGAGTTTTTCAAATAGCCAATAGTTCCATCAGAAAGTTTTTTTTAAGATTGACTGATTCATAGTCCAATAATGCCACAATAGTAGTATATTGCTTTTTCTTTTAATGCCTTCCTCACCTTAATATCTCTATTTGTTTGTATTATAGTGATTCATACTAGCCTCAATTATGAATCTTCTTCTATTTATTCCATACTTAAGGCTATTTTTCTTTTTTTCTCTTCCTGTCCTTTTTCTTTCTCCTTTCCTTTTCTTTCTCCTTTCCTTTCTTTTGTCTTTTTTAAAAAATCCTTCTCTCTACAACTCAATTCCAACTATCATTTTTCAGTCAGTTGATTAGGTTTTGTCAACCTTCTGCTTTTTCTTGTCTTTTAGGTATTTATCACTCTATCTTTCTATTGCTTTTAAGTACAGGGTGGAGGGGAATCTAATTTCTAATGTACAACTTGAGCAGAAATCTTTAAATATCCCACTGTCTCTCTGCAAGCATTAGATTTTCACTGACCATTTTAAAATGTAGTTGAAAATGTGTGTGGAGCACTCAAGGGGTCTGTTAACTTTGTGTGGAGCACTCAAGGGGTCTGTTAACTTTGGAACTTGCCTTGGGATCTTCAGGTTTTTGTAAGCTGAGGAGAGTCATATTGAAGGTCTCTAGCTTGAGCACTGATTGACTCTGCTCCAGTCTGGGCCTAATCTCACCTACTCAGGGATAGCATGTACCTAGTGCAGGGAGAGCATGTACCAACGAGCACCCAATATCACCCTGAGTCTGTCACAGTGAGAGGACAGATTCAACTGCACTGTCTTCAGATCTGAATCCAAAAGAGAAACTGTTCAATCCAAGCACATTTCTTAACCCCCCCCAAACCTTAGTTTGATACTTTATAAACAGCATTAAAAACAATGTTTCTTTTGGGGAGGGTTAAAGTGAGCATTTGACAAGTTTGATATCTTGTCTTCAGACCATATTGAGCCATGTTGATAATAGTGATACCATCATTACCATTGTAACTATTTCTTTCTGGTGGCTAGAATAAAGGGTGTTGTTTTCCTGAAATCCACTGGGGTTCAGCTTTTGAGTTCTGTTTCATCTAGTGTTCTGTGCCTGAAAAGCTGTTCTATACGAAGCATGACTTACTTACTTCCATCAAATGAACTTATCCACCTTGTACATCAATAGAAAAAACACATGTGAAAGATTTGGCAAGGCTGGTAAACATGGCATGCACTAGAGTTGGATAAGCCACAGTATCAACTATTAAATTCCCGAATTATCAACATCAAAGGAAGAGAATTAGAGTTATTGTAACACTAGGCTTCCAAGTATTCACCCAAGGTCTTATTTGGTGTAGATCTACAAAATGCTTGCTTTTCATATTCAATGAGTAGAAAGGAGGATGGATAAATAGTGTGGGGCTACTAAGACTTATACTTCAGTAATTTGCCTAAAAAATCGTTTTAAGGGAAATGTAATAAATGGGAAAAATATCAAGGCTCAGAGAACAGCCTGAAGCAAGATCTTTACAAAATATCTTTTTAATAAAAGACAAATGAATAAATAAGTAATATTGTAGCTAAGAAACAAAGAGAGGTGCTCATAAGATAAAATAAAAAGTATAAAATCCCTTGGAAAACCAAGGAAAATGATGATAGTACGAACATCAAGAGAGATAAATCCAATCTAAGCTTCTTCTGAGAAATAACAATTGCATCACGGGTTATCAAACGATACAGATGCTATCAGCTCTGAAGACCAGACCACGGGAAATGATCATTATCTAGAAATTAATTATAACATGTGCTCACTGATTCACATGGGTCCCACCACAGGGGCTTCACGTTGTCTTTAAACTCTCTACAGGTACTATTGATAATTCTATTCGAAAGCAACTATCCTCTCATGAAAAGTGATGAGGATCTAAGACAACTGTGGATATAGCCTGCTCTGTGATCAAGGAACATGATTAGCCAGCTGACATCTGAAATCAGTGACAGAGAAAGTGCTGAGTAGAAGCTGACAGGAATGCTCAGAGCTTTGTTAATAACTTGTGCAGGAATAAGCAAGACACCTTTATAGACAGATCTCTTCAAGACTAACCCAAGGGCCACAGGACACAGAATGGCCAAGGAATAGAAACAAATACTATTTATATTCACCTAGCAAATTCTAAACTAAAATTGGCAAACAGTAAATCTGATTCCATCTAACAGAAAAAAGAAAACACACCCAGACGTCAAGGGGCTAACACTAAATCTTGGCTACAATGTGGCAATGAGCAAGTCATGAAATATCTGAGTAACCGTTTCCTTTTTGTGAAGTAGAGATTGAAATGCACCTAGCTGAACTGCATGAGTCTCAAAAGGGAAATATGCACATAATTCTAAACAAACAAACAAACACACACACAAAACCTGTAAGTGGAAACCTCTCAGTAATGATTGTTATTACCTCAGGGTGCCAGATGATCTCTATAGGTGCAAATGTTCCCTAAATCTACAGAGGACATTACTTTTGATATATAGATTACCACCTACTCAAATGACAAAATTCACAGATTTCTATTTACAATCTGGCTAAAAAGAAAATGGCATTTAAATTGGTAATTGTCAAAAGTATCATCTGCCTTGTTTTCTTACAGAGAGAATTGTAGGCCTGCCTCCCAAAGTTTTACTCAACTAGACTAGATTGTATTACTTTTGAAGGATTCCTTTATTAGCAAGGTGTGTGTGTGTGAGAGTGTGTGTGTGTGTGTGTGTGTGTATGTGTTTATCTAAATTGTTTTGCTACCATGACTATATAATAAAGGTTGGATGTTTTACTTGTGGTGTATTCTAGCTGAATGTAAGAGTTGAAAGAGAAAATGCCTATGTTAATATAAATATAGAATTCACAATTTATAGAGAAAAAAGAAATGAGTTAGGGAGAATTCTAAGAAATAAATGTTTTATTTTTAAAGTTGGGTTGATCTGACTTATGAAATTTCTGACTTTGTCTTTGAGCACCTATAAAAGGGAACTGGATAGGAATCCTCAAAGCACACAACATAAGAGGCACACAAACAATCTGTATACTCTAGCTGCAAAGGGAAGACACTTAAGAATTCAAGTTTTAAATACTAGAAACCAAAAGTGCTCTGGATCATATTTCTCATTTGAAACCCCACACATATTATTTTGATTTTAATTGTCTCCATCCTCGCAAGCCTTATAATTTTTGCTTGATAAGGAATCAGCCAGCATGTTGAGAACCTTGGCTATTTATAGAGGTGTGAGTGATAACCGAGAAAGCAGAGGGGCCTCTACCACAGCAGAGGATCGTTTCCTCACGCAAAAATCCAAAGAAACCTCTTCTTACTACCCCACATACAGAGCTGGTAACCTCTCGGGTACCAACTTCACTTCCCAGATCGGGTGCAGACTGCAGAATAAGATGACTACCTAAACACAATATTTTAAAGAGAAGCACAGAGAGTCCCAGTGGCTGTAAATTTACATAATGTCCCCACACAACAGTACCTTCGGCAGTGATTTCAGTCATGGTGGATGGGGAAGTCAATCAGGTGAAAAGTCGCAGTCAAGTGGCACTTTGCAGAATACGGTAGGACTGGAGAACTCTGGTAGAGGGTTAACGTGAGGGCTCTTGCTTTTCCTGGCCGTTTTCAGCTGCTTTTCTGGTCCTGTTGAACTTTGCCTCTTCTCTGCAGAGTTCTCCCCCTGGAAACAACCTAAGCCCTTTCCAAGCAGTACTTGTGGCTCAGCTAGAAGTATCAGCTTCAAACAAAAATAGCCTCGTCTCCCTAGGACTCCTCAGCACTTTTTTTTTGGCACTGTGGAGGAACACACACACACACACACACACACACACACACACACACACACACACACAGGCTCCCCAGCCCTAAAGAGACAGGCAAAATAAATAAAATAAATAAATACACAAACAAATGAAAGAAGAAGATGCCAAAGTATCGTGAAAATACTGTCTAAGCCCCCGCACTGTCTGAGATAATTACAGGGGTGTGGGTCAGAAAACACGAAATAAAGGAGTTGAAAGTAATCTTATCTGAGATAGCTCAGATTTATTCTTAGTGCCCTTAATCCCCAGAACATTCCCCTCTCCCTTATTTGGTTAGGGGAGGGTCATGTAATGTCTACCACAGGCAGAGAGGAGGGCAGACTTAAGTAATTTACTGAGTTGGTTTCTGGTTGCTCCAAATCCTCTTAGTAGGTATGCTTATATAGGGCTGCACTTAAAACTGAAATTATTAAATCCTGGCCACTCTTCAAAACTAGTCATGTTGGAGGAAATTAATATTTTCTAAATATTAGTCAGTAAGAAGTATGTAAGGTGATGTTAAAACAGAACCCTGAGAAGGTTAACGTCCCCAGGTTTTATTCTCACCCTTTGCTAAAAACGAAATATTTCAATTTATCTCATCAGTGAAAGAATGAGAAGGTGGCATAAAGTTTAGAAATCCACTGCTAACATTTTAGAAAAAGATTTCAGCATTTCCCTAGCTGAACTGAGAAGAAAAAAATAAATAAATAAAAACTGCATCCTAGCAGCAGCTAACAATTAGCTAAATTGCCTGATTAGCATTTCACCTTCTCACTCCCAGACAGGTGTTAATGAGCAGAGAAATATTCAATAGTCTTGGCTGGAAGGGGAAGGAGAATCAAAGGGCATCGGTAATCATAAACTTCAGCCAGCCTGAGAATAATCAAGGGCCCCCTTCCCTTATCTTTTATTTTCTTCTCATATTCAACCTAATAAAGGCTTGCCTTAACTTCCTACCCTTGGCTGTCAGAGCCTCTAGAGTTTGTACAGTACTTCATAGTTCACAAGACAAAGCTCTATCTGCTGTTTTAAAGTGTGGGGCTCAGAAGAATGCTGTGACAGCTATTAGCATAGACAATGACATCCTGCATGTCACCAGCTGTCTTTATTGGCTGCTTCAATTCCTGGCACAACAGAAATTGCATAGACATCAGCTGAATAAACAAACAAGGGAGTCACTTCGTTCACCGAGGAGGAACTGACTTCAGGTAGACTCATAATGCTACACAGGCCCAGCAGATAGGACAGCACCTAGATGATTGACATTAATTGTAGTACCCATACCTTGCCTGAGAGCTAAGATCTGGTAGCAGACAGTACTGTTTCCAGGCTGAAGGGATCATTGCAAATAAAGGCAACGTGCAGGACAGAATGATGTGGCAGCCTCTAGAGTAGTGGGCTACCTAAAGGAGCATGCTGAGAGCAGAGCTACCCTGGCTTGGGTCCTCTCCCTGTAGTGATTTCAATGAGAATAGCTCCCATAGGCTCATATATTTGAATGCTTCTTTCCTATTAAAGGTTTGGTCTTGTTGGAGGAAGTGTGTCACAGAGAGAGGGCAGGTTCTCAAAAAGACAAAAACAAACACAAAAAACAAATAAACAAACCTGTTTCCAGTGTTTCCAGTGCACGCTCTCTCTCTCTCTCTCTCTCTCTCTCTCTCTCTCTCTCTCTCTCTCTCTCTCTCTCTCTCTCTCTCTCTTGCTCTCCCTCCCTCCATGAATAAGTTTCAGCTCCTGCTCCTGTCATCTGCCATGCTCCCTTCGTGATAGTCATAGACTTTATTTGTTCTCTGGAACCATAACCAAGACCCCAATTAAATGCTTTGTTTATAGGTTGCTTTAGTCATGATGTCTCTTCATAGCTGTAGAAAAGTTAATACGACATTCCCCCTAATATGTCCATTTGATACCAACACAATGCTACCTTTTTTAAGAGGCGTAACTCATATTCTCCATTGATCAGCCCTTTCATAGTCCTTCACTATAGTTAACCAAAGAAATAAGCACGCTGTGCAACCTACAAACACTTTCAAGGACCAAGACCTAAATAAAATTAGGAAGGGAATAAAAACCTCAGTTTCTAACTATTGTTCCATGAAAGGTTGGAATAAGACCAGGGGGCTAAATTTCAAAGAATTGATGCTACACTCAAGCTGTCCCTTTTAATTTCATGTTGTACATGCTAGAAGGAAAAGATAAAAAACAAAACAACAAACAAAAAACCTGCAAAGCTATTCTAGCCAATCAATGTGTTTGCAGAATAATAGACTTACTTTTATATGTGAGATAAAATGACACAAAGAGCATATTAAAGTTAAAGTATTTCTCATTTTGAAAATTATCAGAATCCTTTCAATGTTGAAAGCTGCTTCATAACTGAATTACAAATGGACTCTGAAGATTTCTCTAAAACCAGCTCCCTATTCAAATGTGTAGGACCCAGTTTTCAGGACATTCGATAACCAGGTCATTGGAACTGGTTTCCCTCATTTTTAAAAGCACTGTTTTGAACAGATGTTACCAGGCTGTTAGACTCACCCAGTGGGACCCACGAGGTACAGTTCCTTTCTCAGTGGTACTCTCACAATGCCCATTTCCCTCCACCAGTTAGTGCATAATGCTATATTTATGGAACTAGGGCATTAATAACTTGCCTTGTCTACACAGTCAATCATGAACTAAAAAAAAATGGTGTTCTCCTGTTAAGTGCTACATTTAGGTAAACATGCCTATCCATTGATGATACAAATCATTAGTCCTTGTGATTTTTGTTTGGTATTCCACGTACTCAAGATGGTAGATAACAATATTCTGCCTTAGAAGAATTTTTATAAACTGGCTTCTTGGTTTCTTATTATCATAAGCTAACAATCAGTAAGTCACATACTGTATTAGGTTATGAATAAGATTTTCTCATCCATCCTGAATTTCAAAATATAAAAAGAAACAGTAAGCAATGTCAGAAGTTTTTTTGACTTCTGATTTTCAAAACTAAACTAAGCTAACATTTTAAGAACATATGTTATTATCTTAGTAACTATCAACTTCTTGCTACAGAGTGATGAGAAGAAACAACTGAAAACAATTGCAACTGACAACCATTCACACATTTTCTCAATGGATATTTGAAAGTAGAGTGAAATTTTAAGGTTGCCTTTATTCTCAAAACCCGGTGTATCTTACTTATACACAGTTAATAAGGTATCTGTGACTATATACACATATATGTATAATGAATGAAAATAATACAATTTAGCAAAACATTGTACAATCAAGTAAAACTAGACACTTTAAAATAACTCCCTACGTATTGATTAGGGAAAGTATTAAGTGCTCTCCTTTCTTTCTTAAAAGAATAATTGGTATATATATTTTTTTCTCCGTTAACCCAAGTTTTCAGGTTTAACAAGAGCCAAATATAAATAACTAAAACAAAATATTTTATTGAAAAATACATTCTTCTCTCACCCAATATATTTTAAGCACAATTTCCCCTCCCTCCACTCCTTCCAGCTTCTGACCAATTCCACATCCCCCCAGATCCACTCTGCCTCATTTCCCTTCAGAAAAGAGCCAGCCTCAGAGAGACAAAAACCTAACAAAATTAAACAAAATACAATAAGAAAGCAAACACCCTCACATCAAGGCTGGACCTCTGGTGGATATGGAGTTGGTGAAAATCTTTTCCTATTATTTATGCTTCTGTTTTGTCTTATTTATGGTATTATTTGTCTTACAGAAGCCTTTCAGTTTCATGAGGTCCCATTTATCAATTGTTGATCTTAGTGTCCATACTATCTGTGTTCTGTTTAGGAAGTTGTCTCACATGCCAATGTATGCAAGGCTTTTCCTCATTTTCTCTCCTATCATGTTCAGTGTATCTGGATTTTTAAAAATTTAATTTAAATTAGAAACAAATTTGCTTCGCATGTCAATCCTAGCTCCCTATGTCCCTCCCCTCCTCTCCTGCCCTCCTTCAACCCTCCCCCAACCCCTTCCCCAATCCCCACTCTACTCTCCAAGGAGGGTAAGGTCCTTCATGAGGGATCTTGAAAGTCTTTCAGATGATCTGAGGCAGGGCCTAGGCCCTCTGGCATGTGTCCAGGTGAAGACAGCATCCCTCCACATGGAATGAGTTCCCAAAGTCCATCTGGATGACAGGGCTAAATGCTGATTTATTGCCTGAGGTCCCAAAGGATGCTGAGACCTCCTCACTGACACTCAACGTTCAGGGGGTCTGTATCAGTTCCATGCTGGCCTCTCAGTCATCAGTCTGGGGTCTATGAGCTCCCTCTTTTTCAGGTCAGCTGTTTCTGTGGAATTCACCTGCCAATTCATAACCCCTTTGCTCATCACTCCTCCCTCTCTGCAACTGGGTTCCAGGGGTTCAGTTCAGTGTTTAGCTGTGGGTGTCTGCCTCTGCTTCCTTCAGTCACTGCATGAAGGCTCTAGGATGGCACACAAGAAAGTCATCAATCACGTTAGATGGAAGGGCATTTAAGGTAGCCTCTCCACTATTGGTTAGATTGCCAGTTGGTGTCATCCTTGTAGGTCTCTGGACATCTTACTAGTACCAGATCTCCCTTCAAATCTATAATGGCTCCTTCTATTATGGTATCTCTCATTCTTCTCTCCTCTATTCTTCACCATACTCAACTTTCTAGCTCCCCCTTGTACTCCTCTCCCCTCCTCTTCACCCCCTCTCTGTCTCCTAGCTTCCTCACCCCTACCCAAACCCTGTGCTCCCAATACCTTCAGAAGATTTTGTCAGTGGAAGTGCTGACTGGCACTATCCTGATCCATGTCTAAAATCCATATATGAGTGAGTACATTCCATGTTTGTCTTTTTGTGACTGGGTTACCTCACTCAGAATGGTTTCTTTTAGTGCCATTCATTTGCCGGAAAATTTCAAGATTCCATTTTTTTTTCAGCTGAGTAGTATTCCATTGTGTAAATGTACCACGTTTTCTCTATCCACTCCAGTTGAGGGGCATCTAGGTTGCTTCCAGGTTTGGACTATTACAAATAAACTCCTCTATTGAGAATTCTCTATTAGTTCTGTGCCCACTTTTTAATTGGATCCTTTGGTGTTTTGTGTTCTTGGATTCGATTTACCAATATTTTATTGAGTATTTTTGCATCAATGTTTATGAGGGAGATTGGTCTATAGTTCTCTTTCTTAGTTGTGTC